ACTACTACTACTACTACTACTACCAGTACGACTACGACTACTACTACCACTACTACTACTATTGCTACTACTACTACTACTAGTGCTAGTACTAGCAGTACTACTACTACTACTACTACCACTACTACCACTACTACCACTACTACTACTACTACTACTACTACTACTACTACTACTGCTACGACTACTATTCCTAATACTACTACTACTACTAACGCTACAACAACAACTACTCATATTATTCCTACTACTGCCACGACTACTATTTCCTTTGTTACCATTAATATTCAGAGTGCTACGCCTAATACGAATACTATTCGCGGTACAAAGAATAATGATACACATACTACTGTGGCGAATAGTAGCACTACTAATGGTACTGTTAAGAACCCGATTGCTAATCCTAATGCGAATCGTATTAGTAATACTCATAACAAAACTGCGAACCATACTACGACTGCGAATCATAAAAAGGAAGAAGCGGACGCATACTACAAACAATACTACGACGACGACTACCACTACGAAGCATACGGAAACGACTACGAATATCCACAATAATACTTGTCGTACTACTCAGACAAATGCCGCATACTACGGTTCCAATCACACATAGAACGAATACCCGTAATAATCGTAATACGAAGATTACACACACCATCTTCATAGCACTACGAACGCTACGACGATTGCTAACACTGTTAAGGGTACTTCCACGACTAATGCGCCTAGTACTATCGTGACTATTAGTAATACCTCGAACAACATTCATATTAGTACGGATGCTGATAATACTACGAGGATGAAGTTGAGGAGGAAGAAGAGGAGGAGGAGGAATCGGACCATGATGAAGGAGATGATGATGATGATGATGATGATGATGATGATGATGATGATGATGATGATGATGATGATGATGCTGATGATGATGATGATGCTGATGATGATGATGATGATGCTGCTGCTCCTGATGATGATGATGATGATGATGATGATGATGATGATGAGGATGAGGATGAGGATGAGGAGGAGGAGGAGGAGGAGGAGGAGGAGGATGAAGAGGAGGATGAGGAGGAGAAGCAGGAGGAAGAGGAGGAGGAGGAGGATCAGAAGCAGGAGGAGGAGGAGGAGGAGGAGGAGGAGAAGGAGCCGAAGGCGGAGGCGGAGGCGGAGGAGGAGGAGGAGGAGGAGGAGGAGGAGGAGGAGGAAAAGGAGGAGGAGGAATAAGAAGATGAAGTCGAACACGAATCGTAATACCAACCGTAAGGACACTATTATTGTTACTAATAAGACTACTGATGTTTCGAATACGAATAATAATACTCAGAAAAAGAAAACGCACAATAGTAATACTCATAACGCTAGTATCATGTAGAGTAAGCATAACAATACGGTAAATACAAGCACGACTAATAATAATAGGAGGAGGAGAAGGAGGAGCAGGAGGAGCAGGACGGGCAGGAGGAGCAGGAGGAGTAGGAGGAGCACGAGGAGCAGGAGGAGGAGGAGGAGCAGGAGGAGGAGGAGGAGGTGTGGCCGCCCGCGCCCCGGGGCTGCTGGGCCCGGCGTCAAGCTGGCTATGTCACCCCACAACGCACCTCTGGTGGGGGGCAGGCGCCACGGCCCGGGAGGTGAGAGCCACGCGGGGCGTAGACCAGGGCTTCCCGCTCTCCCCCGGCTACTTCGCCCTAGCCCTCGCAGGGCCACTGGTGGCACTGGATGCACGGCTGCGCCAGCTAGCGCCGACGGCCCGCGTGTTCTCCTACCTTGACGACGTCATGGTTGTCTTGCCCGCCTCTGTCGCCGAGCAGGGGCTGGACGCGGTGGCGGAGGGCCTCGCTGCTGCCGGCCTCACTCTTAACGAGAGCAAGACGGTGGCATGGACGGCAGACCCGACTACGCAGCTCCCGCCGCGACTCGCCCCTTTCCGGAAACCGACTTTACGCTGCTTGGGGGCCGCTGCCCCCTGGGTGGACCGGGAAGACCCTCTCTCGCGCCTGGTGGTGCACGGACAAGCAGATGGCCACGAAGCAGTGCAGGCAGCTGACCGCTTGGTGGCGAGACTCCGCGAGCTTCGGTCGGCCGGGCTGGGCTCCCGCGAAAGATTCCTCCTGCTACAGACTTACTGCAACGGATGCATCACCCATCTTTTGCGGGCCAACTACGAAGACGGGGGCTGGACCACGCTGCTGGACGACGCCGTCGTCAGAGGGATAGAAGACCTACTCGGGTGCCCGCTACGCGCGGACCAAAGAGCGCAGTGTTTTCTCAGACTCGCGCACGGAGGACTGGGGCTGACTTCGGCAGCAGAGACAGCTGCGGCGGCATACCTGGGAAGCTGGGCTCTGACGTTGAAAAGCGTGCGAGTGTGCCTGGACGCGGTCTCCTGGCAGAGCTTTAGAGCACGGTGCCCTGCTGTGGCCGACGCCATTGGGCGCGCAGAGACGAGACTACGGGCACAGGGCAGCGGAACCATCGACGCGGTGGATTGGGCCAGCTGCTGGGACGAACCGCTCGCTGGCCGGCAAGGGTACTGGACAGGGCTGCTTCGGACTCGAGCGCGCGCCGAACTGCTACGGACGCTGGGGGAAGACGACCGCGTTGACCTGCGCTCCGCTGGAGGCCCCGGAGCTGGTGGGTGGCTCGAAATTCCCGTGGTCAGGGAGGGGGAGACGCCGGCGAAGGTCCCCAACGCCCACTTCCGCATGGCCCTAGCAGACCGCTTGCGCTGCGACCTCTGCGCCCCTGGAGCGCAGTGCCGGCTCCGCAAGCAGGACGGCATGGTCTGCGGCGCGCTGCTGGACAAGCGCGGGAGGCACGCGCTGAAGTGCCCCTGCGGCCCTTACAGAACAGGGAAACACGACCAGATGCGCGACTGGTGTGCGGCCTACCACCACAAGGTCACGGGGTACGTGGCGACCACGGAGCAGATGGTGTCAGCCTGGCACCGGACTAACCCGAGGACTGGGGAGTGGGGAGGAGGCCAAGTTGGACGTCGCCACCCGCGATGCGGTGACGGGCGCCGCGGTCTACCTGGACGTGAGCATCGCCTGCGCTCACAGCGACGACCAGTCGCGCCAGCGGGCTCGCTCCGGCCGGGATGGCCTTGCCGCCCAAAGCCGCGAGGACGACAAGCGGCGGAGGTACCCACCTCACGGGGGCGACCTTGTCCCGGTCGTTTTCGAGACGGGCGGGCGTCCGGGAGATGCGGCGGTGGCCTACGTGCGGTCCCTGGCGCACGGCCTCGAGGGGGCGGCCCGCACCGAGGTGCTGAGGTACGCCTGGCAGCAGCTGAGCTGCCTGCTGCAGGTCGGCAACGCTGAGGCGCTGCTCGCGGCGATCCGCGCCTGAAGCCTGACTGCCAGGTAGGGGAGCCGCCTGCGCAGCAGCACCAGCACAACGGGCGACACCCCGGCGAGCGCTACGCCGACGCGAGACGACTCCTGCCGCCAGTACCACCGACAGCGCCAGCAGCACCACCGCGGCAACCACGCTGCAGCCAGGGAACACCGGCAGCAGCACCGCCGCGGCAAGCCATGCGACCTCGACCAGCACGACGACGACGACACCTACCAGGGCGACAACTTGCGGCGCCGACCACCGACCCTTCCACTCGACGACCGCCGACCCCCGTCTTCCGTTCCCCCTCCTGCCCTCCTCCCGTCCGGGCCGGCCGCCCTTGCTTCCTAGTGGCGCCCCCTTGTGTCCTCCTCCTCCTCCTCCTCCTCCTCCTCCTCCCCCCGCCTGACAGGTGAACGGTAAATTCGGATTTTGCAACGCCCCAAAGTGGCTTCGGTTCAGCGCATGACCCCCAGGACCGAGGCTCAGGGCCGCCCCCTGAGGGCTGGTGGGGGCGCCACACCCGCGACCAGCGGAGGAGGAGGAGGAGGAGGAGGAGCAGGAGGAGCAGGAGGAGCAGGATGAGCAGGATGAGCAGGAGGAGCAGGGGTAACAGGGGGAGCAGGAGGAGGAGGAGGAGGAGGAGGAGGAGGAGGAGGAGGAGGAGGAGGAGGAGGAGGAGGAGGAGGAGGAGGAGGAGGAGGAGGAGGAGGAGGATGTGCAGGGGGAGCAGAGGGAGCAGGGAGGAGGACGGAGGCAGCAGGAGGAGCAGGAGCAGGGGCAGGTGGAGGAGGAGGAGGCGGAGGAGGAGGAGGAAAAGGAGGAGGAGGAGGAGGCTACGACTGGCAGTCGATTTCTTTCTTCGGTGTTTGTTTCCTTATTTCGTGGTCGAAGGCCGAATAATACAGAGGTGCCGACGCACGTGGGCTGGCCTTCAATGATGGTTGGCTCTAGCGTGTTATGAGTTGTGATGGATTTGCCGGACGTTCGCTCAGAGCCGCCACCTGCGAGCCGGTGGAGGCGCATCCTCGCGATAAGCGGAAGGGAGGAGGATGCGGGGAGAAGTACCTGAACCTCTTGGGAGCCCTGTTCGCCACGGCTGCATTCGCCCAGAAATCCTTGCCACAGCGCGCTTCGGGGCAGGTCCAGCGGTAGGAGGAGGGAGGGATGGAGGGAGGGAGGGGGAGGGGGAGGAGGAGGAGGAGGAGGATTGATGATGAGGGAAAAGGGGGGAGGATTACGGATGAGGGAGGATGGAGCAGGGAGGAGCGGTGACGCATCCGCACCATGTCGCCAGGTGCATTTCTATGGGCGGGCGGGTTCATTGGTGCCGGCGCGCTCCGAAGAGCCGGTGGGCCTGTCGGCTCCCATGCGTTTGCAACGTATTTGGCATGTCTACGTCCGCGCGTGCCCGTACACGTTGTCAGTGCCCCGGGCAGGTTTGCGACGCTGGTGTGGCAGCCCAGTGCCAGCGTCCCAGACGCGCCTACCGGTCTTGCTCGTCCGTTCTGCTCCGCTCTCCATGCCGCCGTGCCTCTTGAGCTGTCGCGAGTTTCGATCATTTGCGCTCCCATGCGTATTCTCTCGGGACTCCGTCCTCCCTGGCGGCCAGCGTTTGTGTTCCAGGCCAAGTTTCCGCGCCGCTGCGTTTCGGCCACTTCATGCTCTCCATGTGCCGCTTCACGGTTGGCTGCTCTGAGTATCCCGGCCGACGACCACTACAAGTATTTCGTATACCCTTCCAAGTTCTTCCTGTTTACGGTCAACCCGCCTCGGCCGCCCTCTGCTCGTTACGCAGCCGCGTTCTGGCGCCCTCCTGCACTTCGTCCGCACGTCCGCAACGGTCTGCACGATCTGAGCTGTTCGATCGTCTCCTCCCCTCTGCTCTCCCTGCGTTCCACCGTGCCCCAATTCGCTTCCGGCGCGTTCCGCCCGCAGCCCGACCGGCGCCTGCGCCCACTTCGGATTGCCTGCGCCCGCGGATCTTGAAAAGTGTACGTCGGCGCTTACTGCATGTTTTCGAGCCCGCTCGCCAGCCAACGCGTTCGTGCGCATCAGTCGGGTGTTGCTAGAAGTACCCCTGGCCCAAGGTACCCCCAGGATTCTCGGGGTTGCCCAGACGGCCTCCAGGGCACCCCTCACGAGGCCCAGAGGGCCCCAGGGGCTCAAACATGCAGCGAACAGCTGGGGGCACCTTGGGCCAGGGGCACTTCTAGCAACACCCGCATCAGCATCACTGTTTCCCGCGGCCTCCACTGCTTGTCCCTCGCGCGCGCCGTCTGGCCTCTGCGCGGGCTCCGCGCGCGCCCACTTGAGAGCGACGCGACAAACGGGCTGGTCCGCGCGGACCTTCGCGACTCGCTGCCCGCGTGAGGTCGCTCGTGGGCGCCCCCGTTTCCAATGCCGCGTTTCCGTGCTGGCGGCCTGCGGAAGCTAATGTACAAGGTGGCAGTGCCATCTCGCGTCAGACCGTTTTTACTTAACAGCGAAGACTGATAGGTTTCTAGTGGTCTCAAAAGAGAGCATCATGACTCCCCAGGGGGGTCTGGGCAGATGCCGGACGGTTGCCCCGGGAATCCGGGGACTCCCGCGGGAATGCGGGGACTCTTTTTTTGGCCAACAGTAACGCACTTCGTGGTCTTCGAGTTCCCAGAACTCCATTCCTGGGCATGATTTTGAATGCCCGGAGCCAACTGTAGGCCACTTCGTGTTCTTCGAGTTCCCAGAACTCCATTTCCGGGCCACATTTTGAATGCTGAGGCACATGCTGATGCAGGCTGAGGCTGAGGCTGAGGCTGAGGCTGAGGCAGGCTGAGGCTGAGGCAGGCTGAGGCAGGCTGATGCTGAGGCAGGCTGAGGCTGAGGCTGAGGCTGAGGCTGAGGCTGAGGCAGGCTGAGGCTGAGGCTGAGGCTGAGGCTGAGGCTGAGGCTGAGGCTGAGCAGGCTGAGGCTGAGGCTGAGGCTGAGGCTGAGGCTGAGGCTGAGGCAGCTGAGGCTGAGGCTGAGGCTGAGGCCGGCTGATGCTGAGGCAGGCTGAGGCTGAGGCTGAGGCTGATGCAGGCTGAGGCTGAGGCAGGCTGAGGCTGAGGCCGAGGCTGAAGGCAGACTGAGGCTGAGGCTGAAGCAGGCTGAGGCTGAGGCTGAGGCAGGCTGAGGCTGAGGCTGAGGCAGGCTGATGCTGAGGCAGGCTGAGGCTGAGGCTGAGGCTGAGGCAGGCTGAGGCTGAGGCAGGCTGAGGCTGAGGCCGAGGCTGAAGGCAGACTGAGGCTGAGGCTGAAGCAGGCTGAGGCTGAGGCTGAGGCAGGCTGAGGCTGAGGCTGAGGCTGAGGCTGAGGCTGGCAGGCTGATGCTGAGGCAGGCTGAGGCTGAGGCTGAGGCTGATGCAGGCTGAGGCTGAGGCAGGCTGAGGCTGAGGCCGAGGCTGAAGGCAGACTGAGGCTGAGGCTGAAGCAGGCTGAGGCTGAGGCTGCAGGCTGAGGCTGAGGCTGAGGCAGGCTGGCTGAGGCAGGCTGAGGCTGCTGAGGGCAGGCTGAGGCTGCTGAGGCTGAGGCTGAGGCTGAGGCTGGCTGAGGCAGGCTGAGGCTGAGGCTGAGGCAGGCTGAGGCTGAGGCTGAGCAGCTGAGGCTGAGGCTGAGGCAGGCTGAGGCTGAGGCTGAGGCAGGCTGATGCTGAGGCAGGCTGAGGCTGAGGCTGAGGCTGATGCAGGCTGAGGCTGAGGCAGGCTGAGGCTGAGGCCGAGGCTGAAGGCAGACTGAGGCTGAGGCTGAAGCAGGCTGAGGCTGAGGCTGAGGCAGGCTGAGGCTGAGGCAGGCTGAGGCTGAGGCTGAGGCAGGCTGAGGCTGAGGCTGTGACTGCGACTGCCGTTGCCACTGCGACTGTCATCGCGAATGCGACTACGACTGCGAGAACAACAGAATTCTACAACTGGATTCTCATCTGAATCTTAAGGGGAATGCTTCCAGATATGCTCCTACACATCGCTGTTAGGTTGCTTTGCCGGGTTTTTTCCCGTCGCTTACTGGCTGCTGCTACAGTCCCGCTTGTTTTGTCGTTTTTTTGCATGCCCCCTCGTGGCCAGGCAGTGGGCAAGGCGGAGGTCTAAAACAAAAATCGCGTCCTCAGGGTCCCAATCACTTTCCCAGGACCTCTCTGCCCCGACTTCATTTTTGGTAGCTCCAGGGCCCGAGAAAAGGGGACCCCAAGGGCCGAAACCGCCGAAACATCGGCCTGAAACCACCACGCCGTCGGCGATGCGGAGGCCGCTGGCGGCCCCTCGAAGTCCCAGGACTTCGCCGAGGGGCCCTGGGGCCCGCCGGCGGCGGCCTTCGGCCCCCCGGCGGAAGGCGGGCGCGTCCCCCGCCAGCGGCCATCGGCGGCCCTCGGGCGCCGCTCCCCCGACCCCCCCGGGGGAGGACGGGCGCGGACGCCGGAGCGGCGCCGGCGTCCCCGCCGGCGGGCTCCGCGCCGGGGGGCAGCGCAGGGCGCGCGGCGGCGCCCAGCCAGGCGGTGGGCGGTTCAAAGAGGTGGGTGCGGGCAATACTTCTGTCCATATCCACTGCAGTATGGAGTTTCGGGCTCCCTTCCCAAGAAGCCCGAGGCGCACTGGATGTGGACAAATCCCACCAGCCCTTTAGGGCGTAGGTGGTCTAGGGAGTTTCCTCTGCCAACCCCCTTCTTCCCCTTCGGGGAGGGGTTTACCCCTCCCCTTACCCCTCCCCACTGACCTGGACGGGGCCGGTCGCGAGGTGTCAGAGCGTCCAAGATGGCCCAAGACAGCTCCAAGAGCGAACAGGCGAGAAAACACAAAACATTGATTTTACCTAGGTTTTGGAAGGATTTTGGCATCTTGGGGGGGCCCAAGAGGCGACTCGAGGCACTCTGGAGGGGCGGGGCTAATAAGCACCCCCCCCTTCTTTGATAGATCTCCTCCAAGATGGCCCAAAGAGCGCCCCGAAGGCTCCCAAGAGCGCCCCAAGAGCGCCTCAAGAGGGCCCCAAGAGACCCCAAGAGGCCCCCAAGAAGCCTCCAAGAGGCTGCCAAGAGACCCCCAAGAGGCCCCAAGAGAGTCCAAGATGGCCCAAGACGGCTCCAAGAGCGAAAAGGCGAGAAAACAGAAAACATTGATTTTATCTAGGTTTTGGAAGGATTTTGGCCTCTTGGGGGGCCCAAGAGGCGACTCGAGGCACTCTAGAGGGGCAACGCTAATTGGGGACCCCCTCTTCTCTGATCGATCTCCTGCAAGATGGCCCCAAGAGCGCCCCGAAGGCTCCCAAGAGCGCCCCAAGAGCGCCCCGAGAGCGCCCCAAGAGGCCCCAAGAGGCGCCCAAGAGGCCTCCAAAAGGCTCCCAAGAGACCCCCAAGAGGCCCAAGAGGCTCCCAAGACGGGTCCAAGAGCGAAAAGGCGAGAAAACAAAAAACATTGATTTTACCTAGGTTTTGGAAGGATTTTGGCCTCTTGGGGGGGCCCAAGAGGCGACTCGAGGCACTCTAGAGGGGCAGCGCTAATTGGGGACCCCCCCTTCTTTGATAGATCTCCTCCAAGATGGCCCCAAGAGCGCCTCGAAGGCTCCCAAGAGCGCCCCAAGAGCGCCCCAAGAGGGCCCCAAGAGGCCCCAAGAGGCCCCCAAGAGGCCTCCAAGAGGCCCCCAAGAGACCCCCAAGAGGCCACAAGAGGCTCCCCGAGATACGCAAGAGGCCCCCGGGACCGCCAAGAGGCCCCAAGGACGGCCCAAGAGGCCCCCAAGCTCGCAATTGTCCTCCTCCTCCTCCTCCTCCTCCTCCTCTTTTTCTTCCTCCTCCCTCCTCCCCCTCCTCCTCCTCCTCCTCCTCCTCCTCCTCCTTCTCCTTTTCCTCCTTCTCGTCCTCCTCGTCCTCGCAGTCCTCCATCTCCTCCTCCTTCTATCCTCCTCCTCCTCCTCCTCCTGCTCCTCCTCCTGCTCCTCCTCTTCCTCCTCCTACTCCGACGACGACGGCTCCTCCTACATCCTCCCCCTCTTGGGGTATATGGCGGCTCACCCCGCCCTTTGTTCTTCTGCATGCTCCCCCGCTTCCCTCATAACCTCCACTCCCCTGGGACTCATTTCTGGACGGGCTGGTGGGGATACGCGAAGCGTCTAGAATTTTCCCCCTGGAGGCTCGAGTATTATCCATATCCAGTGCGCCTCGGCCCTGTGGCGCCGCTTCCAAAAAAGTCCAAGAGGCACTGGATATGGACATGAATCTTGCCCGCAGTGGGGGTCCCGAGGGGTGCCCTGACCTCTGACGGTCCGTTTTTTGGGGGTCCCGGGCGGGTTCCTTCGGCGTCGGCCACGTGCAGTGTGAGCCCTACAGTCGGGGCCCTGAAGAAGGAACCCTTTTCGTTGGGGAGGGGCTCCGCGTTCCTTAAGTGTTTCGCAGCTCGCCTCAGGTTTTCCCTAGGTTTTCGATACGAAATCGAAGTTCAACTTATGCAGAATAGGGGCCTCGTTCCTTATTTAGGGTTCCTTAGGTCAACGCCCCGACTGTATGCCAAGAAGCACCCTGCTTTCCTCCAGGGTGCACCGGGTTTCCTGGATTTCGATGGTTTCTGCTGCGGAAGCGTGGCATTCCCTCGCCAAAAGTCAATGGACGTCTTGGGGTCTCAGGGTTGGGTTTTTTTTCGTGTGGAAGGTTTCTTGTGGTCGATTCCCTATTGTATCGGGCCCCAGGGCCATCAAAAAGGGGCCCGGGACTGCGGATTGAGAAAGTCAGGTCGGCGAGTGTCAGGGGGGCGGCCCTGAGGGCGAGCGGCCTCAGGCAGTGGCCCGTCTCCAGTCCCGAGGGCCCTTCCACTCAAAGCCCCATGTGTGAACCGCCGAGGCGGGGCCGCTGCTGCTGTGGATCAACACCAATGTCCACCCGACGATTATCAGGACCACGGGCAGGTCGGTTGAGAGCCCCCCAAGGGCCTCGCGCCTCCGTCCTCCCGATGGTCCGCCGCCGCCGCCGCCCGCGATAGCCGGCCGGGCTCGCCCGTGGGCCGCCCGAGGCCTGTCGGAGGTCCGCCGCCCGCGATCGCCGCCCGAGGCCCGCCCGAGGCCCCTTCGCCTTCCTGTGGGCCCTCTTGGAGGCCTCCTGGGCCGCCTTGGGGTCCTCTTGGGCGCCTCTCGGGCCGTCTTGGGCCATCTAGGAGCCATTTTGGGCCGTCTGGTGGGCTCGTGGGCCGAAGCTGGGAAAAGTCCAAATCAAGCCGAGTTTAGGATTTAGCACTCTGGGCACCCCTGCGGATCGAAGACGCCTACGCCGATTCACCGCCGTCCCCTGCCTTCTAGAATCGCCCATGTGGCCGAGCGTTGTGGCAATAGCTCTGCCAAGCTATCGGACCATGTGTTCCCCCAACCGTTGTGGAAACCCTTCGGGGTGGGGAAGATCAGGAGGAGGTCTCTTGGGCACCTCTTGGGGCAGTCTTGGGCCGTCTTAGAGGCTTCTTCGGTGGACGTGGAGGCATCTTGGCCCTCCTTGGGCCGTCTTGGAGGCCATCTTGGAGCATCTCGGGCGGACTTGGAGGCCATCTTGGGCCATCTTGACAGTCTTGGAGGCATCTTGGGAGTGAATTCGGGGCCCTTCGGGCGTGGGTGGCATGGGGTGGCGCTACTTGCCGGGAGGCCAGCCGGGTGGGCGGACGCCCCAGAGGAGAGGAGGTCTTTTGGACAGAGAGCAGACCAAAACCGAGAGGGTCCACCGCGCCTGGCACCCCTGTGGCAAGCCAACAGGGGGCGGCGGATCGAATGGCCTTCGGCCCAGCCCGCCACCGTGCCTTGGTTGTGGGCATGAAACATATATTTGATGTTTTTGTTGGGATCTCGTGGGGGGCCCCTCGGGGGCCTCTTGGAGGCAGTCTGGACGCACGCTTCTTGGGGTCCGTTTTGGGGCCTCCTGGGGCCTCCTTTGGGCCCTTTGGGGGTCTCTTGGTGCCTCTTGGGGGCCTTTGGGGGGCCTCTTTGGGTCTCCTGTGCGCCTCTTGCAGCCTCCTTGGGGCCTCTTGGGGCGGAAGGCTAGGATATTCGGTTCGCGTTCCCTCTCTTGGGATTCTTTTGAGGCCGTCTTAGGGCCCTCTTGGGCCGTTGTAGGGCCCTCCTGGAGGCCTCTTGGGCTGTCTTGGGGCGGTCTTGGGGGCCTCTAAGGCCGTCTGGGAGCGTCGGGGAGCCGAAACGACGAGAATGCTAAAAGACCTCCAAACATCTTTTTGGAAAATATATGATTTTGGCTTCTTGGGGCCTTCTTGGGAGGGCTCTTCGAGGCCTCTTGGGCGTCTTTGGGGCCTCTTGGGCCGTCTGGGGGCCATCTTGCGCGTCTCGCGGTGTTCTTTCGGCGACTCGGGGCCCCTCTTGGACCGTCTTGGGTTGCCTCTCGAGGCTCTCTTGGCCCACGTCGGGGCCCTCTCTGGGCCCGCAGCAGTCGCGCGACGAGGGGCGGGGGGGCCCGGGGGCTGCTCGGGAAGCCCCAGGTGCCAAGCCCCCGGAGGTTTGAGAATTTGGGACTGCAAAAAAAGGATTGCAAAAAAACCCTGGGACGAAGGTTTTTTTGCAATCCTGGGTTTTTTTGCAATCCTTTTTTTGCAATCCTTCGTTTTTTTGCAATCCTTCGTTTTTTTGCAATCCTTGGGCCCCAACGATTCCGCAGGGGCGAGGATGGAGGCTTCGGGGACTCGGCAGAGGACCCGAGGACACGCCCACTCCGTGCCCGGAGGCGCGGTGGCGGATCTCGAACGAGTCTAGATGTACGTAGGTTTTGTGGGTGCAGCCAAGACGCTGAAACAAGGAACAGCTTGGGTTCGGAAGGGGATCGATGTTCCTCACGTCCTTCCGTGGTTGTTCCTCCAGCCCTTATCGTGCACCCAGGCTTTTTTGAAACCACAGAGGGGCTTCGTTCCGCATTTAGCGCTCCTTATTTCAGCAGCCCAACTGTACCTATCTCGGCCTCCGGGGCACGCTTCTGGGATTCTTTAGACGACTCGGCCCGCAGAGCCTGCCGGCCCCGGGGAGGTGGCCGAAGATTTTTTGGAGACCACGTGGCGAACCAAAGACAAAACAGCGGCCTTCTCGAGGAGGAGGAGGAGGAGGAGGAGGAGGAGGAGGAGGAGGAGGAGGAGGAGGCCTGCGGACGGCTTTGGCGCTCTCTTGGGGGGCCTTCCCGAGCGCCCTTGTCGCCGCGGCGGGGCCCTCCGTCGGCCAGGCGCAGCGGGGGGTACAGTGGGACCGAGGCGGGAATGTATGCATGACCACCGCCTGGAGGGTCAGTTTTCGGAGCCTCGGCAGGCGGTGGATATGGACATATTCAGGCCCCCGGGGGCCGATATATATATATATATATATATATATATATATATATATATATATCCATGTCCACCGCCCGCTGGGGCACCAGGACGTCGGTTCCCAGGCGGTGGATATGGAGAAATCCCCGCCTCGCACAGTGGGACCGAGGCAGAAGATCGAGGTCGCTTCGGGGAGGGTGCCCTAATGTTCTTCGGTTTCGTCGAGAGCTCTTGTGCATCCCGGGGGAAGGGTGCCTTTGGACGTTCTGTGTGTTTTGGCTCGCGGAGGGTCTCCTGTTCTTGAGAAGTGATCTGCTGTCCTGGGTCCGACTAGGGGGAGGGGGGACGCTTCTTAGAAGCACCCTGCTTCTTCGAATGTGCGGGCCTATCTATAGATGAAGGGCGGCCGGCGCCTTCTAAGCAGCAGCCTCCTTCTGAGAAGCCTTCCCCCTCCTCCTACCCTCCTTTGCGCGCCGCCAGCTCCTCGACAGTCGGATCGGATTCTCGATGCACGGAGTCCAGACTTTCTTTTCACAGTAGGGAAGGAAACACACACAGACACAATTAACCGTCGACTCCCAGGAAAATATGGGGAAATGTGGGAAGTGGCGGGGGGGGAAGACAGAAGCCCAGGAAATTTGGAAAAATATGGGGATTCCTGCTATTTGTGCTTATCTACTTGTGGGTTTGTGGGCCCCTTCATCATCGTCGCCGAGGAGCCCACGCTGGCCGGTCTCTCCTCGGCTGCGGGCTCCGGGCCCTCCCGGAGGGGGCCCGTCTCGGGCCCCGGGGCCCCCAGGAAGCGGGCGGCGGCCGGCCACGTGAGGAGCCGGTCCCCACGGAGGCCTCGGCACCGCTCGGGCGCGTGCAGTTTTGCCTCGGCGAGAGCCATCGGGGACCATCCTTCGGGGGTGGACAGAACCCCCAACAGTGACACGTCGATGAGTGAATTGTCCGTTTTCGGTTCTCGAGGGGGCGCCGCGGCCGTCATGTTCCAGGCTCGCGCCCGCCAGGTCTGGGCCCGAGGTCGTTCTCACTAAGCCACGTTTTACCAAAGGGGGGTCTGTCCATCCCCGATCGGTGGGAAGGATTGTTGGGGGCAGGGCTCGTCCCATGTGGTGTTTTGGCGATTTCGTTGACTCGGGCGTGTCCCTCTACAGTTATGTCGGGCGCGTCCCCCTGCGTGGGGGTTTTCGACGAAAAATAACAAATACCCTCAAAAATACCCCAAGAAGGTCAAACAATAATCAAAAATAGTCCATCGAGCAAAGAATCTTGGGCCATCGAGCAATGAACAAAAGGCACGCACGAGATCGAAAAGTGCACGGGACGTGGGCGGCCGAGCGGCGGCAAGCAGGGGCCGAGAGCTCCAGGGGCCCACGCCACGATGTAGTCCGCCGCGCGCGCCCAAGGGGCAGGGGGGGAGGGGGGAAGGCTGCTCAGAGGCACCCCTGCTTCAAAGGAGGACGAGGAGGAGGAGGAGGAGGAGGAGGAGGAGGAGGAGGAGGAGGAGGAGGAGGAGGAGGAGTAGCAGGAGGAGGAGGAGGAGGAGGAGGAGGAGGAGGGGAAGGCTGCTCAGAGGCACCCCTGCTCCTTGCTTGGCATCGCTCGGACGTGTGCCTTTTTTCTTCGGCGAGGACCATCGAGGAGCTTCCCTGACCATTTGGCGAAAACGCCACGCACGAAGCCGAACAAAAAACACAGGAAAGGGACGTCCGAGCGATGGCCAGATTGGGAGGCGCGGGCCTTGAAGAAGCCGCCTCCTTCTAAGAAGCCTTCCCTCTTTCCCCTGCCCCCTTGCGCGCCGCCAAGGGAAGTCGTGACAACGGAGGTTTGCGTCCCAGCCGCCAGGGTGCAGTTTCGAGGTCGTGCACCGGGTGCCTCAGGAAGCGGTGGATGCGGATGTCTGCCCCCTGACGAGGGCGGGAAAACCAGCAGTTGTGCCTCGTCCAGAGCCCTCCCGGGAGCCCAGTATCGTCTGGGGCCCCCCAAACGGTGCGGTGACCCCATCGTGCGGTGGGCCAGTGAGGATTCGGGGTGACCGCACGGTTGTGGGCTTCGGGTCGTTCTTCGAGGACTTTGTAATGGGGCCGTGCGGTGACGGACCGTGCGGTGAGGTCTTTGAGGATTCCGAGGTCACCGCTCGGTGTGTCACCATACCATTTCGGGACCCCCACTGAATCTCCACCTGAGGTTCGAGCAGAAATCATGATGATGGCGATGATGGTGGTGGTAGTGGTGATGAATGATGATGATGATGATGATGATGATGATGATGATGATGATGATGATGATGATGATGATGATGATGATGATGATGATGATGATGATGATGATGCTGATGATGATGATGATGATGTTTTCGATGATGACGATGATGATGCTGATGATGCTGATGATGATGACGATGCTCATGCTGCTGTTGATGATGATTTTGATGCTGATGCTGATGCTGATGATGATACTCCTGATGATGTTGATGAGGATGAGGATGATGATAATGATGATGATTCTGCTTGTGATGATGATGCTGCTGATGATGATGCTCATGGCCATGATGATTACGATGATGCTGATGCTGCTGCTGATGATGATGCGGATGAGGCTGCTGATGAAGGTGGTGATGATGGTGATGACGCTGCTGATGATGCTGGTGATGATGGTGATGCTGCTGCTGCTGATGCTGATGATGCAGATGCTGCTTATGATGGCGATGATGATGATGCTGCTGATGATGATGATGATGATGATGCTGATGCTGCTGATGATGATGATGATGATGATGATGATGATGATGATGATGATGATGCAGCTGCTGCTGCTTATGCTGATGCTGATGATGGTGATGGTGATAATGATGATGATGCTGCTGCTTATAATGATGATGATGATGATGATGATGATGATGATGCTGATGATGCTGATGATGCTGATGCTAATGACGATGGTGGTGTTGGTGGCGATGATACTGCTGCTGCTGCTGATGATGATGCTGCTGCTGATGCTGCTGCTGATTCTGATGATGATGCTGATGGTGCTGCTGCTGCTGACGACGACGGCGATGATGATGCTGATGATGATGAGTCTGATGATGATGATGCTGCTGATGGTGATGATGCTGATGATGATTATGATGATGATGATGATGATGATGATGATGATGATGATGATGATGATGATGATGATGATGATGATGATGATGATGATGATACTGATGATGGTGGTAATGATGATGCTGCTGCTGCTGATGATGATGATGATGATGATGATGATGATTATGGTGAGAAGAAGGAGGCGCAGGAGGATGATGATGAGGAGGAGGAGGAGTCGGAGGAGCAGCTGGAGGAGCAGGAGGAGGAGGAGGATGAGGAGGAGGAAAAGGAACAAGAGGAAGAGCAGCAGCAGCAGCAGCAGCAGCAGGAGGAGGAGGAGGAGGAGGAGGAGGAGAAGGAGGAGGGCCACCCAGCAATTGGAGGAACATCCCGAACGCGATCACCTGCATGACGGTGCTTTGCGGCTTCTGCCTCATGACGTCCACGACCATCCCTGGCATGTCGCCGCAGGCCTGAACCAGTGTTGAGGGTGGGGGTCCAGGATGACGATAATGACTATGAGCGCAAGACCGTCATTCTCTTGGGGCTGTCTTGGGGCGCTTTCGAGCGCTCTTTTGCTCCGCCGAATCTTCCTGGGCATTGGAAAACACATGCTAGTCAGCATGGGTCTCAAACCTCAAACAGTGTGTTCTAGCAGTATACGTTGTGCAATTTGGGTTATGCACTCTATGTGGTGTAATTGATTTAAACAAACGAATTGACACATCCCATGCTCTTGCAGACATCCCACCTACCCACCCGCAACTTGGTTTGCAAAACCCATGCGGGCTGGCGATTGCGATGCATGTTTGGCGTTGGCTGGTGTATCTCCCGAGCACCTTCTCTGGGTAAAGAGCAATGGGTGAAATCTGAAATGCTGTTTCGATTGATCCTCGAGGTTTGAATCTGCAAACCCAGAGATCCAACGTATTGAAAAAATCAATACGGAGGTTTTTCGTACTTTTCGGCCTCGAGGGGCCCTCGCCGGGCCGCGGGACCCTTAAGCAACCATTCGCGATGAAAATCCGGTCCTTGGGAATGGGTCGAGACTTCCAGGGGCCCCGTATTGAAAAATCACGACATCGGATCTCTGGGAAAGGTGAATCACAAGACGGGTTGATTCTCGAAGTGCAACATCCATTTGGATTTCACCCTGAGCCCTCCACCCTGAGTAAATGTTCAGATCTTTGCGGCCGCGCCAATCCAAGCACGCACGCGCAACGCGCAGCGGCCAGCTAGTTTGGCGCGACCGACGCGGCCGCGGTGGCGCTGACCGCTGGGCGCATCCCAGCGGGCACTTTCAGTGCGAGTCGGCGAGTTGGGCGGGCGCGGTATCATGGCAACGTCGACAACGGTAGACACGATGATGATAGTAACGATGCTGGTGGCGATGCTGACAACGACGAGTGCGCGGCCAGTGCGGGCGCCCATGCTGATCACGCCGACGACGATGACGGCGTCCTCGCGTCGGTGATGAAGGTTTGGGACGAGTTTGACATGAGCGCGCGGCCGACGCGCGAGAGCGGCCCGCGTGGTATTATTTGACACGGATCGTGCCCACCCAGCACGCGCGCGAATGATGTCGGCATGCGGTACGAGAGGCCGGTTCGGCAGAATTCCATGACAATGGTGAAGAACCATTTTTTCAAGCATTCGCAAGCGTGCGAGCGCACGCTTTTTGAAACCTGTCGTTGCGAAGCAATGTTTTTTTGCATGTGTGTTTGGACGAAAGTCGCAAGCAACGATTTTTGACGGATTCCGACGTGCGCGCGCGACGACGCGCGCGCGTGCATTTCGTTTTTTTTTTTTTTTTTTTTTTTTTTTGCAACGGGTTCTCGCGACGGCACGTGCGCAAGGGCGTTCGAACGCTTTTTGGCAACATATTGGGAAATGGTTAAAACGCCAATGGTGTTCGCACGAATTCGCAAGAGCGCGCGCACACTTTTTTGTTGTTCTGAAAACCTGTGTTGCGAAACCATGTGTGATTTAAATGTTGTTTTGGCGCTCGTGTTTGGAACCCTTGCGAAACGGACGGTTTTTGAAGGATTTCGGCATGCGCTCGCGACGACGCGGGCGTGTGCACTTCGTTTCATGTTCTACAGCATTTTTTGCAATCTGATGGGTTTGGATGAACGAGTGCGTGCGCATAGTTTGTTGCCAGGGATGGCGGGGGGGGGGCGATACCAATTGGGTTGGGATGGCCAGACTTCATAATTCGGATGGGAGATGGGCAGCACCATCTGTAAACTGCAATACCAGAAAGGGGCGCCGATAATCCCAGGGGGAGGGGGGTAAAGTCAATTAGCTCTTTTGCGAAAAGAGAATATTTGCGGTGCGGTCGACGTGGCAAACACTGCTCGGTACTTTCTATGTGGTCGACCCTGTGTGGTGCAACCGACGTGGTGCAATCTATGTGGTGCAAGTTCCGTGGTGCAATAAGCGTGGCGCAGTAGTTGTGGAGCAGATCATCAGCTGCAGTCTAAGTTGTGCCATCTATGTGGTGCAAACCACGTGATGCCATCGATGGGCGGCGGCGGGTCGACGACGGGGCGGCGACCAGGCAGCGACGGGGCGGCGACGGCCAATACAGGGCGACGGGCCCGATCCGCATGCCTTCGCGACGGGCGGCGACGAAGCGGCGACGGGGCGGCGTCGGCGCCCGCATAGCCGCCAGAGCGACGCTCAGGCCCCGGCGATGGCCGACGACAGGGTGGCGACGGGGCGGCGGAGGCGACCCGACGGACGCGCAGGCCCAGTTCTGTAGAAAACAAGTAAGAGGCCCACTGTTTCGGGAATAGTCCCCGACATGCCAGACACTTTATCCCCAGGGGTGTCCGAACGAATTGGGCCGCCTGGGGGTTCCCAGGTGGCCCTCTCGTGGCCACTGGGAACCAGTTCAGGGCTGCTTTGGAGCTTCTTGGACCTCAGTGGTTTTCGTTGGAGTCGACTAGGGGCTCACTCGGGAAAGACTGGCAGGCACTTTGGGCTCTCTTGTGGCCTCTTGGGACTCGCTGGGGAAGGCCCAGGGCAAGTCCGGAGGAGGGCAATATTTGTGGTACCGAAAGGGTGAGGAATTTGGGTTGGGTGGGTGGGCCAACCTTGGTGCCCAGGCATACGCTGCAACAGTTTGAGATATCCACTTGGCGAGAGAGACCGCGAGGGCGAACGATCGAGCGAGCCAAGGAGAGGAAGAGAGAGCGAGCGAGAGAGAGAGAGAGAGAGAGAAATGGAGTGCTCACGATGTTTCGCGAGGAGGTGGAGGAGAATGATGGGGGGGAAGGTGGAGCACGAAGACTGAGAGGAGAAACCCAGCCTCTCAGTGAGATTTGTGTTGCAACAGAGGTTCGGAAGACTTCTGTTCAAGGGCATGTCGTCGTTGATGTCTTCGATGTCGTCGTTGCTTTCAATGTCGTCGCGTCGAGGTATGACTTGGTGTGAGCTGTCACTTGGGGTATGGTGGCTTGTCAGGCCTGCGTTCTCCTGACGGCGCTCGGGCTGGTTGCAGATGTATTGGATGGCCAAGCAGCTCGGTGGCTGCGCGTCAAGTCGAAGTTCGGAGCCACCTTCGATCAGATGGCAGACCCGACCTTATGAGTCACTTGCAGTCTCTGTATCCTCCTGACCTGCAGCTTTTGCTCATGGCTTCATACTAGCCTGATCTTAGTCCTGCTTTTAATAGTCTTGCCATCGCCTACCCGTAGACCATATGGTACTCGTGTCTCCCCCTCAGTCTGTCAGTAGCTTCACTTTCGTAGTTTGTTATTCAATTCTGGGCTCAGTATAGGTAGTAGCTTGCCACGGCGTACTTAACGAAGCGTCGCTTACACCCTGACCATTTTGCACCCATGCCCTTTCGACAGGTTGCAGCAACGTGGCTTGGCGTCATCCTCCCGTATGTGGCTCGCTTTGCTCGAAGGTGAGGTCCTGTCCTGCCTGTCAGCACGCTCGTACTCTTTCATGTCTTTGCCCCATCCCGCCCCGGTGCGTCGTGGGCGACAGAAGAGGCGCGAACGCCAGTCTCCTTACCTGCGGCAAACCCCGCCACAGCGCCAGCGCGGCAGCGTAGCGTGAAGGAGGTTGAGGGCCTCTTGAAGGCCTCTCGGGAGCCTTTACGGTCTATTGGGGAGGCCTTTGGTAGTCTGTAGGGGGTCCGCTGGGAGACCTCTGAGGGGTCTTGTGGGCCTCTCGGGGGCGTCTTGGGGCCTCTTAGGGGCCTCTGAAGGGCAGGCTGAGGGTCTTGTCGGCAATCCTGTAGGAACAGGTTGTCAAGGCTGGCTCGATTTCCCGCTCTTGGGCCACTCTTGGGGTCTTCTAGGGGGCTTATTGGTTCGTCTTGGGGGCATCTTGGGCGGTCTTGGGCCCCCGTTGGCCCATCTTGTGAGCCTCTTGGGCCGTATTGAAGCCTCCCTTGATCGTGTTGGGGCCCTTTTGGGATCTTGTTGAGCTGTCTTGGAGCCTTCATAGGGGACCTTTTGCGCATTCTTGGGTTTTCGGAGACTTTTTTCTTTCCTTTTCCACACGAAATCAATTATAGAAGACGAAAAGAATATGTACATAGAAACATGCATCTATGTATACATGTGTGTATACATATACACAGAATATACACATCTGTATATATATATATATATAGATTGATATCGAAGACCTCTTGGGCGTTCTCTTAGAGCCCTCTTGGGTCGTTTTGGAGGCTTTTGGGGCCGACTCGAGGCCATCTGGGGCCATCTTGGGGCCATCTTGGGGCCCTCTTGGAGCGTCTGGAGGCCTTTTGGCAGTCTTGGGATCGCCTTGATGGCTTTTTTTTTGTCTTGTGGCGAGCATGGCTGCCCTGGATTGTTTTTACTGTTTTGGCTGTCTTGGTGAGTATGTTGTTTGCTCTTTGGGCTGTTTTTGGATGTATTTTGACAATTGGGTATGTTGTTTGTTGTATTTCTGTTGTTTTTTGTCGACTTTGATACCCCTCGGCCAGAGACTCTTTTCGGCCAGAGCCTCCCCAAATAATGATTTGACATCCGAAATGGTCTGAAAGTGGCTCCAGTAGAGGGGGTGGTGGTTTTCCAAGGATGCGTGCGACCCTCGCATGGGGCCACCCGTGGACAACATAAAAAACTTTACCAGGCAGCGGAGGAGCATTCCAACACGCCCCAAACGTGCATAAGGCACGGTGGCGGACTGGGCGTCTTGAAACTCTCTTGGATTGTCTTGGGGCCTTCTTGTACCGTCTTCGAAGCCTCTTGGGAGCCTCCTGGCCCGTACTGCCTCTGGGAAAGTCGCGCGGGGACCTGCCAATGGCCCCAGGAGGCACGCGTAAATGCCTTGGGTCTTGGGGCTCTGGGTCCACTGGCACTTGGGGCTCTAGTCGGCGTCGCCCCAACGTACTGATACTATGTGTGCGTCGCCCCCCCCAGGGGCGTCGCGTGCACCGAGGCATTTTATGGTATATGCGTCGTGGCGGGCGCTTTCTGGCCACACCGCTCGGGAAACGATATACTACAAGATGGGTATACTATATGTTCGGCTCGAGCGCGCGCCTGCAAGTAGGACATATATTACTAGTATGTCTTTATGCGTCCCATCTAGATCAGTTGCAGTACTCAAAACGGATCACTAACCGACCTGAGGAAAACTATTCCACTCCGTGCCTCGCGGCACGGTGGCGGATATTTCATGGCGTGTTCGTCGCAGGGCTCAGCAGGGCTTTCTTGTCTCGCTTTCTCGTAGATGACTGTGAACTCCATGAGCATCGCGTCTCGGCCAGGCAGATCTGTGCTGCTTCGGCATTGGCCCCGCCATCTTTTACACGCGCCAGAGATTATTGTCGATGCCCGACGACACGCTGTCGACGGTGCTTACACTGACCTCAGGCACTGCTGCTCTACTGCATGGTCTGAAACCGTTTCAGTCAGAGGTCTGCTTTGGTCCACATGTATGAGCCAGTGGTATGGGTGGTCAGGGTGGACCGATTGCTTGCGGCGAGCTTGCTCGGCATTCTGCTTGCCCGCTCGGCGGCGAGCCGGGGGATCAGGGCAGCCGGAACGAGTATGATCGGGTGTGGCACCCAGAGACTCCAAAGCCAACCCGATGTAGTGTTATCCACTCAGGGCGGTGAACTACACGGTACGGGGCAGTTCGGCCATTTGTGAATGCCTGAGCATTTCGTGATCATGTAAAGACGACATCCTTTTGGTGATGTATTTGACGCGATGCAGTATCTCCACATGTGGCATCTGCGTGGGAAAGCGTCGAGAGCGGCTCCACAATCGCACACGATTTTCCTGGCAGCATTTGGGTCATTGGAACGTCGATGCCGCTCTTTCGCAAGCAATTCGGCTGACATACGCACATGGCAGTGCGCCCATGCCTTGGGTGCGTGCTCCAAGCATGGGAGACAGTTCGAATGTGTTGCTAGAGCGCTCAACACGGTCACTTTCGGGGTGCTGCAGTGGGGGATGCGAGCGCTTAGTATCGGCAGCTTTGTGCCCTGACCCCTCTGTCTTTGCGGCGACAATGCTTTCTCCAATGATTTGAGGATGCACGGAGACAGCATTCCAGCGCTCAGTGGGTAGTCAGGTCGGGCCTGGTCGGGCCTGAGCTGGCAGGCCCTGACACGGCTCCAATGCTGGGCGCAACTTGCACCTCGTTGCCCCCAGGCCTTCTTTTGTGCTGATGCCCATACAGTCCTTCTGAGATGCGAGTGATGCAGGTGAGAGCTGGTGGGAGGGATTGGAGGATGGTGGGTGAGCTTCAGCCTGAGAGCCTGATGCGATCCCCTCCCCTTCAGGATATGCGTACATGGCATGCAGCTGTTACCGTATAGCGCGAGGTGCAAGTTTGTTCCTTTTCGCAACGAGCATCGATCAGAGAGTGGTCAAGGTGTGATTGGAGCATGTAGTATTTCTGGGAATGCGTGTAGGCGGGCAATGTGTTCGATAGCGTATGGTTATGTGGAAAGGTGTGGCAATCATATTGGGAACGCAGAGGGTTCAGAGTTTGGAGTAGATGACATGAAGGATTCAGTAATGAAGCGTTGGAGGAATAGGAGTTTTGGGAGCCAAAGCTTCGCTTCATGGCGAATCCTGCAGCGCCTTCGTGTTCCAGCCCTGCTCCAGGATGTTTCTGGGGCGGAAGTGGAAGGCAGAGGTATG